CCGTGATGCAGCCTATATGATATTGTCATATAACAGGTTTTACAGTAGTGGTACAATTGGTCTGTTAAAAATGGAACAAGATATCGAATTTGAAAATCAGATTCGGCCAATATTACATGATGTTGGAAACCTTGTTGATATTTTGGTATCAGGCGATCAGTCAATGATCGCTATTGACTGTTTTAAGAAGGTTAGTGCAATATTGGGTTACTCATATTGATAATGCGTCATAAAGTAGATCAGCATAGTATTTTATTGTGCAGTAATATAAGTCCTATATTGTAATACTGTGATATATTTAGAAACTCATACTCAAAATGAGTGGTGATCAAGTCCAATCTCGTGTTGAACTTGATCAACATGGTCCATCAATGTTTATTCCTGGTAGTAATCGATTGCTTATTTATGATGCACCTAATGTATATGAATATAATTTACAAGGTAAGACATGACGGTTGTACAACAACTCTAATTCAATCATGCATTCATTCATGGTCACAATCGTTTTTATTAAACTAAGGCGATAAAATTGCTTGGCAAGATATCTCTCAAACAAAATCAGTTGATGTTGGTAGACCCCAACGTAACCCCCAAACTACCGTCAACATATTCGACGTAGGTTAAGCTTTCATCAGCACTAGTAGCTCTATCGACTTTGTTCAATCCTCTGCTCAATTGAATTGAATTGAATAATATTGATTGGTTGCAGCTGATCGAGTTTGTAGGTATAGAAGATTATGGAAAGTACAGGCAATTAATCAATGGAATACTTGAAGAAGAATCGGCTGCTAAAGATTTGATTCTCTTCAGATATAGAAAGAAGGATAAAACACTCATTCTCATGAACGTATGTTGAAAATACCAGTTTGAAGTTTGTATGAAAATGACGGTAGTATTATTTAGAAGAAGATGATGAAAATGAGAATGCTTATTAGCTAACATAAGAAGTTGTTGAACTGATTTTACAATTACGTTGGAGGTCAATTGGTCGAAGGATTCATTTATTTGATTTATTTCAGACATCCTACGTAGGTGAAAAGTGGATAATAACTGTTAACCTTACGACCGGAAAGAAGAGCGTTAATCGACTGACATTGAGTCATGGTGCTCGTGTTGTGTATGTTGATGATGATTATCTTTATGTTTGGGAAAGAAACAAAGATGATAGACGTAGCTTGAAAGTAAGCTAGAATAATTTATTTCCATTTAATCTCTATTCTAAAGTGGAACCGTCTATAAATTGACTGTTCAGTTTCATGTCGAAAATAGCCTTGAATGTCGACTTTACGTCTATTGATAATGGAGACGACCATTAACGACATTTCCAACTTGAATTTATTGTAGTGTTACAAGTTTGGGGATGGTGAATATCAATTACTGCAAAATATTGACTACCAAAGGAAGGAAGGATTAATCTGTAAAATAATGATGAATTATAACCCTCATAAGATTGAACATTCGCCTCTTCGGATGAAGAAAGAAAAATTAGTTGATGTATGGGGAGAGAAAGATGCCGAAATGATTGCTAATGTATTAGCAATCATTGATTATGTAATGGTAAGTCATAATGATCGCAGTGTCAATATGGAAATGAGTTGGAAGGAGGATGACAACGACTGTAATGAGTTGATTATGTAAGGAGCTCTACTCTAGTCCATAGCTGATCGTTACATTCCATTCAATTCATTATAGAAAAATATCAATTT